AAGATGAGTCAGTGTGATGGCTCCTTTGGGTAGGTTTTATTATTTTTATTTTTTGATTATTCTATTGCTGTAGTGATTAGAATTTCAGGCAATGAGCTAAAACAATATATTACTAGACTGGCAGTCAATCAGATCACTATCACTTCAAACATCATTTAAGAAGATCTACTTTTTTTATTATTTATATAGCTCCATAGTTCATGGTGCTACATAGAACAAATCAAAGACAGATTCCCTGCCCCCTAAGAGCTTACAGTCTAGGCAAGTACAAGAACAACAGGAGAAGATAACACAGGCAGGGGACAGAAAGGGGTAGTAAATGAAAAGAAGGACAATTAGATTACAGTCACATGAAAGGCTAGTGTGTTTGTCTTGGTGGATACAACTGGGGAGATGAAGTGCTTGAGTAATTTTAATTAGAACTACATTTTATAGAAAAGCCAGAAGAAAGGGTTTTGAAAATAAATTTGAAAGTGTCAGAGGTGCTTGTAGGAAGGCAGAGAGGCAAGACTGGAAGGGAACAGGACATTAACATATTTGATGTTGGAAAGCAATAATCTTGGATGTTAGACGAGTCAACCTCAGCGACCTTTTCTTTTCCTACACATCTTTGAAAATATGACAAAAAGCACAATTGCTCCTGTATACCTAAATGCAGGCTGCTATCTTATTTTGCTTTTAATATGGTGTCAGTACACATTTGGGGATATATTGGACAAAATCCTCTGAAGCAGGAGTTTTGACACTGCTTTCAAAGTAGCATTTCAATCATCGTATTTTGTGATTGTTGAAGTACTTGGAGATTCCAACGTATTGGGAGACTAAGTGAAGTTGTGTCTAGAGTACTTTAAATATTTTTCTAATATCCTTAATACAATAATACAAAAATTATTTTATAGCATTATTTTTTACCTCTTTGTATGCCGCTATCTCTGCTCATGACCCCTTTTCCCTGAAAACGTTTTGATTTTGTAGAATATCAGGGCATTTCTCCTACTTCTAATTGAGGCTTTGGATTTTGGTGGGTTTTCTTCATAAATTATGTCTTTTCCATTCTGAAATATTAACTAGTTTGTGTAGTAGGGCTAAACTGTGTTATTTTGGTTTTTTGGAAGACTCTATGGATGAAACCAGAACGGACTGATGCAGAGAGCCTCAAGTAATATAAACACGAAAGAAAAGATTCTTTAAAACCCATACTGAGTCCTTCAACTGAAAACTGAGATAGAAACTTCAGAAGGTACTATCTCATACAAAACCTGCCAGATACTCCCTGGATGTGTTTGTATTCGTGTTTATGTAATAGGAGAATACTATGAAATGGCCTACTGATGTCTATAATCGGTCAATTCCTCATTTACTATAAAGCACCGCATATCTCTAGATTTCGTCCAACTATTTGGCTGAGAATTTTCACTACCAGTCCTTTACAAATTACATAAATCAATAAGCTACAGGGGGTTTTGTCATTTATTCTGTAATGTCCATGTAGTTACCTATTGTTGTATAACCATGCTGAGACAACCTGAAGATCTAAATTGTGTGTCTTGAGATTCCTTAAAAATTATAGATGTTTATCTTCAAAAAGAAAAAAAAAAAAGGCCCTGTTCAGTTGTTACCTCCAATTGTCATCTACCAGCTAGCACCACATAACTGAGTTATAACTGCTTTAAAAGTCTTCTCTGGAGTGACATGCAAAGTCAGTCAGAGAAGCACCCATGATGTTGTCCTCGAAAACCAACAGACTAATTGAGCTGTTATATGAAACCACATAAAGCAGTTGTGTACAAATTCTTAATCTTCATGGGTCAGATATTCACTTGGTTTTGGTTGGTGTAGTTCCATTGATTTTAACAACGTGATAGAAATTTATATTACATGCGCATTTGGGAATTTGGGACTAGTCATTCAGAGGCCTTTCAAAATGAGGAATTTTTCTTCAGAATTGAGGGTTTCCTTCACAACAGTGAAGGGAAAATGAACCACTGAGCTTTTTGAAGTACAAAGCTACCAGTAGTATTTTCTACTACTTTGGGGGTCAACTCTTTGTTAGTCATTTTTCCTTAAATGTCTTAATTTTCTGTGAAAAATACAGAAATAATTACTAACGCACAACAAAGCAACAGTATGAATTAGTGTATGATTTTTTTTAAAAAGCCATTATCCTACTATGAATCTGTGGAGCCATGTATTTCTAGTCTTGATCTTAGATACAAATGCCCAGTTACTTTGCATATTTCCCTTAATAATGGAAGGCTGAAATTCTCACTGAAATCTTAATTAAGTCACACTACTTCTGTGTTAGGACTTTTGTTCCTTGGGAGGCTTGGACCAAATAAAACATTTCGGCCATATTCTGTATTCACACTTTGGCTCACATAAAGCTTAATGAGAATTAGTCATGTGCATCAAGGTGAGAATGGAATCCTGCTTATTTCAACACCCTTAATGGAGAAAAGAAAGGTTTGTTTAAATATAATACAGCATTTTATTACATGATTTTACAAATTTTATTGTAAATCATCAATCAAATGCAATAGCCAATTTTTATTCCCATTCCAAGCCATCGTTATTAGGAGTTTTCATTGTATTGTATGACAGTTACTTTCTTCCCCTTTGTATTTTAAAGAATCAACTTAAACTTAAATACGTATTATGTAGGTATACTAATTCTTAGAATCTTTGCTGAAGGCGTTTTTATCCTGTTTATACTTCAGACAAAGATAACCTGTTCTTTGTTATAACAGAAATGGGGATGAAACTCTCACAAATATAAGAGAATTTGCTTTCTCAGTCCCTGTTCACAATGGAAATGGCCAGCTCAGTCTCTATGAAGATTTGTGAGAACTGGGTAGTAGACACAAACCTCCCCCTTCCCCCCAAATTTTGGGATATAATTTCTACAGTTTGAATCAGGTATCTTATATTCCTGTGTTAGAAAGATGATAATATTAAATTAAGCCCCAGTAAACAAATGACCTCATTACTCACCAGTGACTGATTATCTATCATAACTTTAAAGTTTTTTTTTTTAAATTAGTTAAATGAATTAATTTCCATATAAAGACCATCTTCATAATCTTTTTTTGGTCGACATAACATTCCTATACAACCCATCCTATACATTTTCTGTTGAGATACAAATAAATTTACAGTAGACGGAGGTGCAAGATTCAGCATCTGTAGGGCAGTATTTCAAAATGTTATGTCCAGGAACTCACCACAGGCAGGACATATAAATTAGCTTTGAAGCAGCTAAGAGCCAGATCCTTCAAAAACTTATCACAATGTACTGTACTGGCTTTTCTCAGAAATCCCAGCAAACTCTCTGGCCACACATTTAGTGGTAAGAATCGGCAGGATAGGGCACTAAGCTGAGGCTAAGTACCAGTACTGACACAAAGTACTGTACATATGTTGCTCAAATCACACAGCAAAAACAAAACAACTAAAACTGACATAATTTTAATGCTTTTTTTTTTTTTTAATTTTGTGCATTGGATTCAAACAGCAAACTGAGTGCACTTTAACTGTTATCACAATGTGGTCAAGAGGTCTGTGTCTTTTACCATTTATACACAATTGTTCATGACAGCATGTTATCAGCCTAGTGGAAACCAGGGGTGTAGCATGGTAAGCAGTGGTGGTAGTGCACCTATTTTTTATATTATCTAACTTGAAAATATGTCTCTTCTAAGATACCTTTTTCTTGATAAAAATAGTTTTCACCAAACGTTGGTGGTGCACACGCACTACCATTCATGCTTGGCATCACACCCCTGACAGAAACACATGTTCTTATTTTGTTGATAAAAAGTATTACAAAAATTTCCATACAAAAACTATTTTCATAGAAATCTTGCATTTCCACAAATAAACCTGAACATTTTTTTTTTTGAAAAAAAAAAAACTGCTCAAGAATTTTGTTCATTTAGTACTGTGACTGTATTGAAAAATGCAGTCCTCCTTAAAGTTCTCCACATTCACTTCTTTTAGGTGACCCATCCCACTTCCAATATTAGTGAGAATTGCACAGGCTCCATTGAGTTCAATTAGCAGCAGGAACAAGGGTTTCAAAACCCATTCAGGCTAAAATGCAAGCCGTCTATGTGTGAAATACACTGCTTCCCACCCCCCCTCCCACTTCTCAGAATTAAAGAAAAAAAGTAATTGCTTATATCTAAAGGTTGTAAGATACATTCCTTTGCACTAAGGAAACCTTCATTCATCTAAAAATTGGGTCAAAATTATGGATTTTGGGGGTTTCTTTTAGATCAAAGTTCCAGCCCAGGTAAAAGTAATTTACTGTTTGTTTGTTTGTTTGTTTGTAAATTATTATTTATTTACTTAGTTCAGTGACACAGACAGTCCAAAAAGCAGGTGAGCATCTCATATTTATCCTTCTACTCATGGGATTTATGTTTCTTCACTTTAATATTTCTCCCATCCAGGAAACTCATATCGCCTGTCCAGATGGTAGTTTCAGTCTACCAGCAGTTACCAACTCTTCAATACTTGGAAGTTCAGAAGAACATATGGTTTCTTGTTCCACTACAGTTTTGAGATATCACTTTTACTAGACTCCTTCCACGGACATTTATTCTCCATTTCCTGGCAACCGTTGAACTTCAAAAGGAACCTGTAATTTCTCACTGAGACTGCATTTGAAACCAGCCACAAAACTCACATGGAACATTCATTCATTCAGAATGGTGGAAACCCATGACGAACAGTGTAACCCCGCATAACTTGGTTGATCCATGATGCTTGTGATTCGAGTCTGGCCATTGCAACTGCTGAGATCACAGAGTCTCTAGTTCATAGACACAGCGGCATGAGGTAACTCATTTTATTTTGCACAGGTTGCATATTTCCACAGGAAACATTCTCGCAAGGTTGTTTGGAAAAAAGACGACAGTTTGTGCTTGGGGTATTTGGCTTCCCAGCTCTACGCCATGGTTTCTTTACCCGGCAACCTTCTGTCGTTAAATGTGTGCATGTTGATAACTTCTTCTGTTTTCACAATAACAGGGGCCTGTGGCTTGTGTTTTAAACGACGCTGACACTTCAGAGACATCCTTAGCTCCTCTACCATGGCACTACAGAAGGACCTCTACAGAGGGAAATAGAGGAAGAAGAAAAAAAATCTGTAAGACACGTCTAGCTGCAATGTCTAGAAGCAGATTCACTCTATTGGCACAGCCTCATCACTCCTGCAAGTCTGCTTTTTCTCAGCCTGGAGCTCATAACAAATTGCTGTCTTTTAAATATGCACCACATAATAATTAAAAAGACTTATCAAGCTGTGATGACTCAGTGAAAAAATCACCTTGTCTCTACAATTATTTATCTGGCAGCTACTGACTGTGGATGCATATAATACATAAAAATATTTCAAACAGATGTTCTGTTAACACAGGTTAGCTTTACAGGATGGTGTCTGAATGTAACGTGTATAATAGGTAGTCAGTAAAATCGCCTTGCTCATATTTCAAATTAATAATTTCATTTCTATATGATTTAAACAGCTGTTCCTCAACAAAACAACAAGCCTTATTATAGGAAGTTTACCTGAATTAATGTTTAAATACTGTTAAAATGCAGACCCATTACTGAAAACTAATATCTACTCCATTATTTTTAATACGTTCTATATCTAAACACTTTTTTCACTACTGACTATCATTTGTGGAGTATATAATTGCAAAAAATATTCCATTTCATTGATCTTTATAAAGAGCATATTATCAGAAAAACAGTTTATTAACATGTTTTCATCAAAAGCCAGATCCTCAAAGCCCTTTTTCGATTTTACAGTGCAAGAAATTTGAAAAGTAAAATAAAACCTTGCTTATTCCCTCAGTCTGACTGAATCCTCAACTGCTAATAGTGTACGAAACAATTAGCCTGTCCTCAGTGTGAGAATCAGAAAGAGGAGCATCAGTTTTGGGGCCTGTGAATTAACCACTTTTATCATATACTGTAACTTCAATATTTTCCAGCTCATGGAGAAATGTATTCACTAAAGAACACATCCCAGAGCCTGAGATGTTATGACAAGTCTCTGACAATTGCTCTCACCCAAAGCAAATTTGAGGTATAATCTAGCCCTTTGTATTTTGCTTTCTTAATCTCCAGTCCAGGGAGATGATATGGAAAAAAAAAAAAAAAAAAAAAAAAGCACCTAGAATTACCATAAATATCTCTTGATCATTGTTTGATTTTGTGTGATTAGTTGTAGATCATCAGTCATTATATAATTGTGTAATTTATCTCCCAAATCAAGAATGCTGCTTTATTTGTAAACTGGAACATCTCCACTATTCATACAAACCTGGAGTTTGGAGATCAGATCCAGAAAATATTTAAGCACCTTACCCTACCAGGTTCTTTGGGAATCTAAATTGAAACTGTGTTTATCAAAATCTGCATTCAGCTTCCAACCTCCAGGGTTGAAGGCATTCCGAGCAGTAAGGCATTCAATTTTCCACATTAAACTTCATAGATTTGTCATTTGGCAATAGTCAGTAGGAATTCTGCTAAACACATTGGTGCTCGGCTTAGTCCTGGATCCCATCAGAATTCACACTCAACTTCACCTTGGGTAAAGTCATCAATCCAGTAGATGTGCTCCGAAAGAATCTAACAAATCAAGTTCCTCAAAAAAGGTGGCAACTGCTAAAGAAGGACATGTGGCAGAGATCACAACTTTTTTTCTGTGCAGCTGTTCATCAGCTGGAGCATTAGAGCTGAATGTGAGACACATTTGAGAGTGTCAATTCAATAGTGTCTTCTGCCAGAGGAGAGTTAAGCTTCAGTGTCTCAGCAGCGGGCTGTAACCTACAGGCATTAGACCATTTCAAGGCAAAACCACTCGCAGTTTACACCTACTGATCCTGCTGCAGTTTGCACAGAAGCACTTAACAGAGGTAGAGGAGGAGAGAGGGAGGGAGGGAAGGAGGGAGAGCGTGAGTTCATCTGTAGATCAGGGACTAGAGCACATAGTGGCGGAAAGGCTTCAGTGCTAGTCCCTGTTTCAGCGACAACCCCAATATTTTTATGTAAAAATCTGTTTAGTGTAAAAGAGTGAAAACATAAGTTGTCTCGGTCATTGGTCAGAGCTGAACCTGAATCTCCCAAATCCTGAACAAATGCCCTTTTCCTTAATCCTTTGCACGAATAAGGTAATAGGCAGGTGGGAAGGAAAGGGTGATCTTACTCTGGCTGTGATACTGTTCCTTTCAAACACTCCTTTCTCTTGCTGAGTTTGAAATGAAGGATGACACCTACTCAACTTATGATAGAAAAGGTTTAGCCACTTACAACCAAGAAAAGTTTAAGTTATGAATCCAAAGGAGAGGAAAGTATATCTCTCTGGTGCAGAGTCAAGCACAAGTCCTTCAGAGGTCAAAATTCAAGACAAAATTCATCATTTCTGGCTGGAGTCACTTCTGCAATGGACACTCATTAGCAATCTCTTTTAAAAATGTTCTAGTGCACGGGGTTGACATCCAAGACAGAATTTATGGCTTTCATTATGTGAATGAGGTGGCTAAAATTTCTAATTGAATGGTCTAGAGCTGTAATATGTCAGATCTTCATGCATAAGGTATCTTTGCTTAGCATTGTGTAGAAAGCAGGAAACGGTACCTCCTTCTTATCCAGTTGTACTTGGAAAGAAAATATTCAATTTTCTTGGACTTTCTCTTTTTTTAAGAAAGTGCTATTGCTTAACATCAGAACTACAGTTATGATTATGAATCCCACATTAACCCTGAAATCTTTCAAAAGGGTAAGATTTAATTTAATATTCCCTAATGGCTTATAGGCTAAATTGCTAAGACTTGCAGATCTTGGCATTTTCACTATGTGGGGAACCTAGCACATAACTCAGGAATTTCACGGCGAATCCATTAAGAAGTAAATGCTGTGACTCTCAGTGTTATGTCACCTCCAGTCATTACATGGCTCTCACCTCTGGAATGCAAGACCTAACTAAAACATTCTGAGGAACAAAATCCTTCTAAATTTAAAAATGGTGCATTAGCACTGAACACTTTCAAGATTGTGTCCCTTGTCTTTTTTTGCTAAGCCACCTAACAAGAGTGTCAAAACACAGTGAATCCTTTTCAAGATGCATCAATACATCAAAACCTTTTGCAAAAATCTGCAAACATTTACCAAAGGGCATAAACTTTTAGGTAATATCAGTAGGAACAGGATTACAATCAATAGCCGAGGTAAGAAGATACATGCAGTTGATACCAACATTCTGAACTATCCTGAAAATGAGATTTCAAGAAACTTGCCAACACATTTTATCTGAGAATTTTACCTGGATCTGAAAACTCATTAAAAGAGGAATGCTGGCAAGACTGACAGTCTTAAAAAGACAGTTACACAATTTTGAGATAGTTATTTTAGATAGAAAATTCTTATTCTGTGTTTTCAAATTACTTCATATAAATTAAGTTCATGGGAACTTATCTGCATCTGTTGTATTAAAAACATTATTTAACTACTTCATTTACTGAGTTTTTTTACGTATGTGATGTATATCACATTTGATGTATATCAAATATCTGAAAAGAGTAGACAGCATTATCTCCCAGGCAGTATTATTGTTTTGGTAACTGAGCACTGAATAAGAGAAATATTACATATCTCTCTCTCTCTCTTTTTTTTTTTTTTTTTTTTTATTTAATTTCACTCACTGAAATAGTCATATATTTTAAAAAATATTAATTCAAGGCTATGTAAAAATTCATGACCTGGATCTTTATTCATCTTTGGGTTCTATCTGAGAAACATAAGGAAAACTTTTCCCACATATTGCAAAATCATGTTCAAAAAAGGTTTACAAAGGATTACTTTATGTTTGATCTTTTTTTTACTAGAAATTCTTCTATTGCCTCATTACAATTCCAATGTGTGTACAGTCTCCATTTTCTGTACAGTTAAAGTCTATGTTCTTTCACTGTTAGGATACAACTTTTGGAATAAGAAGACACGGAAAAAAGAAGCAGCTCCTGATTACTTTTTTTATGACAGATAAATGGCATTTTCAGATATGATTTTTTTGATAATATAATCCAATGTCTCGATTCTGAACTGAATTGACTGTTCAGATTTTTATGGAAAAACAGTGAAATGTTTTCAGAGTTTATAGGCTATATTTCAAAACAGTTGTCCATCATGAAGTTGAGCACCTTTAGTATATATTACAAGACTCTCCACTTAATTCAAAGAAAATAACCTTTTGCCTCTGACTTACCTTTCACTCTGCAGGCATATTATAAGAACATCAGTTATTATTGATTTTTCACCAACCCTTACAAAATCGTAAGTTGTCTTCTTAAATGTAACCAGAAAGTAAATGCTGCCTCCAAGTCATCTTAGATATAATCAAATAGTAGACAAGTTGAAGGAAGGTATACAGTTCACTAAACAATAGTGCAGTTAAGTGCAACTGTCTGTTGCAGCGAATCACCAGAAAACATCAGAAAAAAGAGCTGCAATTGTAAGTGGGTTGTTCAAGTGTACAAAAGAAAATTTTAATCAGAACTGTAGTTCTTAACCTTTTAAAACAAAGCAATTTTGAAAAAGCTCATCGCCTTAAGAGTAAAGAAGTAACTGATATCTCTCATTCTTTGCCACAGCTGACAGCTCACAAGTCACGTAGAATCAAAATGACAATTTTGTGAAATGTTACCACTGTTTACAACCTATTTAGACAGCTTGTGCATAGCTTTACTGCCTGAGGAAAAAAATGTATCTTTGCATGTATGTATTAATATGAAAGGTAGAAAATATTTAAATAGTTTTCATTATATTGCCTTATAGGAATTTAGAAAGGTAATTATAAACTATATTAGTGTTTGTTAGACACAGAATTATGAGATTATCACCACAGATTTTGCCTGTAACAGCCTAAAAAGAGCAACAGGAAGACCAGAATATCATCCCTGTACCACTCCATATTCTGATTTAAGTGAATAATATTTGATGTATCTGAAATATAAAAATCTCCAATTGCTTTCCGTTTCGTATTTCCCCCCCCCCTCTTTGATGCAGTTAATATAAATTTGACTGTCAACATTCAATAAAAAACTG